GGAAACACAGCTTGTAATATTTGGTTTTAATTCGGCTTTTATCGGGGTTTATTTTCTGTATTTTTGTATTTTTGTATTTTGTAATTTTTTTGTATTTTGTGTATATTATTTGTTTTTAATATGCTGTGAACCGCCCTGAGTCCTATGGGAGAAGGGCGGTATACAAATTAAAATAATAATAATAATAATAATAATAATATAGGTGGCCTTGACCTCAAACTGACATTGCTGAATGGCACATCCATGTGTAGTATGATCGTGTCCTTATATAGGAAGGAGAAAGTAGACCTGGAATGTGTTGCTGAGATCTAGTTGGGCACAGATGGGGGGAGTGCCCTTGTCTAACATGTGCCTGGCTACATTTTGGATATTCCACCATTCTAAACTCTAAAGCCTTAGGAGTAAGGATGGGAATGTTCCTCCAATCCAATAGCGACCAGGTGCTGTGTTGCCCAGATAACTGGATGAGAGTGCACATCTATTTACCTTAAGTTATATTGCTTATTCTATTGCTTAACACTCTCCCTGCTTAAGTTGTTTGACATCATGGCTGACTCATGGCTGAGTTGCCTTGATTTTGGGAGCTCTGGGATTTTAATATCCCTGCCTTGAAGGTAGGTTTGGGATTACATGATTTCTATAAAGTATGGGTATTTTACAAATCACATACTCTAGTGGCCCACTGAATTAGTCTTTATTTAGAGAAGTAGGAATGTGATCTGAAAATAAAAAAAATGTTATTCCCAGTTCTTTGCCACAGTCAACTTATTTCCTGGCTGATGATACCAGTTGGCACCATGGATTAAGATGGTCAGCCACAGACACGGTATGGATACTAATGGAGCAACAGCAGTTGTTGTGAATTTTCTCAAAGATTTGGAGAGCAGTAGGTACTTAGTCAATTGACTACTACAAAATGCAGAGATTATTTCAACTGCTGTAATTTGAAAGAATTTCATTTAGAACTAGAGGAGCTCTTTGGTTAATCATGAACCATCATTGTGTAATGATCCTTGTAAAAAATAAGGGTTATTACAAGATGCATCCAGATTCAGTTCTATATGGTAGCAGTAAGATTGGAGAAGTGTCAATACTTTCCACCCTTAATGCATCTGTGGATTGCTATCTAGCAGTCTTACTAGATAGTAGTTACCCACTCCCTTTTGCAGAGTGCTTGGTCAGCAAAACTTCTCTATATATTTTTGAAAGATATTTTGTAGCCCAAATAATTTGGAATTAGATGCTACATGAATAGAATCCAATGAGATGATATGTTCACAAAATACTGCCTCTATCTGGGATTTACTCAAAATATGAATATTGAGGAAGTGGACAGGATTCCTGGTTACAGAATATATAAAAATGATTGTCGCAGTAGTGACTGCTGCCTGTGGATAGCCCTAGATTGGGGCTGATACAGGCAAAATATTTCTTCTTCCCATATTTGGGCCTACCGGGTGCATCATAAAAAATATAAGTTGAGGAACTTGAAAAGTATACTACTTTGCTCTGCACCTAGATGACATGCTGCAATTAAAAGCATACAACAAATACTAACATGTGGAATGTCTTCGCAACACCACAGTTTAGTCCTAATTACATTCATTGAGTTTCTAAGACAGTTAAATGGCACATATCAAAACAATTTTTGCCTCACCTTTTTCACAACATTGAGCTTGTCTGGGGCATGGTCAAACAGTGTGTCAAATGCATCTCGTTCTGAAATACAATTGATGAGAACAACCCGTATAAATGCTACATTACTGAAACATTAAGAATTCAAAAAACCAGAAGGCCATCAACTGCCATCTACATTTAACAAGGAATATTTGGTCCACCCAAATAATCCTTGGCCTTTATTTACAAAATGCACATTCATGTCAATCTATTTTGAAATCTATTGTTCTCCAGCCATGCAGATTAGAAAGTATAACGAAGTATTGATTTAAGAAATGTAATTATTTTCTCATTATTAAGAAAGTATTCTTCTTTGGAAGAAATACACTGCATATTTACAGTTCAATTAAGAAAAATCAGAATGTGAACCTAGTTAACTTTGAATTATATAATTATTAGTGGGATAATACTTTACAAACATCTAAATAATGTTGAAAATCAATTCATGCTTACCATGCCGTCCTGACATTGCCCTATAGAAAAGAAATAATGCAATTATTTGTATGAGTACTCTTAGTCATTTAATACATTTTGTTCAATGCAGAAATAGACAAAGCAAAATAAATATGCACCTGGCTAATTGCATTCAAAGCAGAAAATACCATTAAAACAAGCCACGAAATGGCCAAGGAGCAGGAGATCCATAAATCTGGTGCCACCAACTAAGAAAGCCTTTACCTGAATTGTTTCTAATTGGACCTCTCTCTCTAGGTGGGCACTCACAAAAACTCCTTAAAACATATATGGGGAAACCACCTTCTTGTTTAAACAATTACTTGAACTTAAAGCTTCCTATATTGGGAACATGTCCACATCTTTACATTATTTCTATTCTGCATTATTTGGAGTGAAGCCTGTTTGAAATTTCCATTAGTGGAACCTGTAATCTATCAGCAAGATTTGGTAAAGCTGGCACATCTTCACCTTGACTTGACTTACTCAGTATTGCCAGTTATTTCCTCTTGGATCTGTCGGGACTGGAGGATTCCTTCTCGCTTCTGGAAAAAATAGCAACAATTAGCCATAGAATAGACTATATTTATTTTATTTTCTTATTTATACTTTTATTAACTATTCATTCTAAGATGGGAGTCTTCCTGTATGAACCTTGACTCATGTATATAAGGGCAGCTGAACAGGAATTTTTATAAGTTAATGGTAAGCATTTCTTATGGCTGTATATTCATGTTACTGTTATTCCCATTCTAAGGGAAGGTCAGACATTTTAAATTAGAAACAGAAGGCAGCAGAAGACCCAAGATACAAGATGGGCCAAAAAGAGACTAGATGGAGACTTATATTTTAACCTCAGGGAAAATAGGGATAGACAGCTATTTTTACCTGGTCACTTTATTGTGAATGCATTCAGAACTCTTCTCCATTTCCACATTAATAAATGCTTTTTATTACAAAAAATTCTACATAAACATTCATGTTTAAATAGTTTTATTTTTTTTCCTCAAAACCTGGAATTTCTAAGATGCTTTCTGTAAAAATAAGCATTTCCAAATAGATGTCAAAATAATAATTGGAAATTGGTATGAAAATAGGAATACTTGATTTCATTTTGATTTAGTTTTGAAATAAGAACAACCACCTCCAACAGACATTCTATTCTGCAATTGTTTTCCTGGAAGGTACAGTTCAGATCTTGTGGAAATGGACAAGAAGCTTCCCTTATTCCCAACTGTGGCATTTTCCAGATCTGTGCATTTCAGTTCACAAGAGGGTTCATTGCCAAGAGTTCTGGAGCTGTATGCCACAACTCTGCAAGTTGCTAAGACTGGAAAACTCTGCCCTACCCTTGTAGGATGCCAGTGGCAAAAAGGGAGATTCTTTAGAAGCAAAATTCAGAAGAAAAGCCAGCTAAACATCTAAATGACAAATTCTAAGGCTGACTGAACTACAGTAATCTGAATACATGTGCAGCTTCTAAAAGGAAACAGTCAAAAGCCAAGGTACTACAATAGTTTATTAAGATGGCCTTTGAGGCAAGGGAAAGACATGCTGTCTAGGGAACCGATCAGAAAAGAGAGAGAGGAAGCTGCAGTCACTTAACTGTCAGAGAAAGAAATTTAGAGAGGACCTGCCCTAATTGGTCAGATGGTTAAAAATGGCAGTGGGAAGTTAATACTTTCAGATTTGCAAGATTCTGTTAATGTAGCCTTGCAATAAAGTGGAAATTGTTCATCTTAGATTATCTTTGCTGTAATTAAAATTCATGCTTGAGTTGTGATTTGAAGAAAATGAAATATTTGAGGAGATTTTCCCCCTACCCCAAATATCAAGCAAGGGGGCACTGTATTTTATTTAACATTAAAGCTGGTGGTCTGGGGAATTATTCATGCATGACAAAATCAGGATCCTGACAGCAGGCAGGAATCTCCCCATCACCAGGGTTCTGTCTGAAATTCCAATTTACTTCCATATTGCTTCGAAACTGTCCTGTCTTTTATGGAAAGAAGGACTTCAAAGGAGGGTGATTATTCACTACGGATTTAAGATAATAATGGAAGCTGTTTCTATTACTCCTAGTGTTATTCTACAAATATGGCATATTATCCTACTCATTTGGTGATGTATTCTCGATTTGTTAAGCCTTAACTACAAGAATCAAAAGGTATTCTCCCCCTCCACCTGAAATAATACCCGAATAAAACCCAGAGAACCAATTTCAAGCAGGTATTGTTGTGTTTGTTTTCCAAACAGCCACAAGCCACAATCTTATTTTGTCTATTGTTACTTATATGAAATATAAGCTTATTCTGCCTGTTATTTTAGGGAGACAGAAAACAGCTGGTCTTAGAAATATTTATCACAGAAGCTAGAATTTTCCTAGGCTCTTTCTCCAGATAAAATTCTGAAGAACTGACAAAAGCAAGTTCAGTAAAAATAATAATAATTTTAAAAAGTCAATTTGAAATTGCTGGCAGGTCATACGACTGGCAGGCATTCACAAGCTGATGGGAAGGTGTATATTATTTGCCAGGTTGAACATGTAATATCAAAAGAGGCATTTATTAAACTTGTGTTCAGTGAGCAAATACAAATATTTGAAGTAGAAAGCAGAGCCGTGCAAATCCTTTGAGGGAAATGCTTTGAACCCAGGGGAGCATGTACAAAGCATCTCTTTTTAAATTGTAAAGCAGCCGCCTCTGTTTCCTGGCTTTACAAGCTGCTTCCAACTCTTTCCACATGTGTGTGCACCAGTTGCCACTTTGTTTCACATTTCCCTCAGTAAAGCAAAATGCACGTGCACATGTATGTAGAGAGAGCTGGGAACAGCTTCTGAAGCAGCAATGTAAGCCTGGAAATTGGCAGAGCTGACTCTTTCATGGTTTGAAAATTTAATTTGTGTGCATATTCGTTCAGAAGATTTGTGTAGTCCCAGTAGAACGCGACAACATGGAGCAAGACAAACCAGAAAGGTGAAAAATATTAACTTTAGGACTCTTGCATGACAACCTCAGAGTTACACTTTGCCAAAATCTGATTTAACCTTTACTATATTAATGTTACCGTTCCGCTGCTATGCTATCAGTAATGACAACAGTACACTTAGCTCTAAAAAAGAAATGCTGTGCTTTGACTGTTTTTCTCACTGAAGAAAGATCAACCCAAAGCATACCTTCTTTCTTATACTTTCTCTAGTTTCAAAAGTGTACAGAAATGCGGAATACATTCATTCATACCTGGACAACCACAACCTGAATAGACACGTGATCTGGCAGCCTGATTGGGGCCCGAAAATACTGCGACAATGCAACCAAAAGATGCAGTATTGCAACCAGGCTTTTTGCATGGACAGCTGAAAGAGATTAAAAACTTAAAATTATGCAAGAGAAACTGAAACATTTACTTCCCAACCACTATCGGTACGCAGAATATTTTATCCTTTAACACTTTGCCCACTAGAGATTAATCCAAGGGTATTTTCCTCTGTTTCTCTTTCATGCCATAAATCAATGGATAAATACAACTAAATAAATACAACTAAATCAACATTATTTCAATGGGTTGGGTGTTTCATGTTTTCCGTGATTTAAGAGGTTTGGGCAGCTGTATTAAGTGCTATCTATGGACACCTCTGGGCCATTCCTTTATCTGCACTATTACAATGTTGATTTATGAAATATGAGAAGGATATTTTTTCATTCATAAACATGTACTTAATTCAGTTTTAAGTATCATAGTGCCTGCAGGAAGATGAATGAGTTCATCTAGCCCATACCCTTGAGCAATAACTTACTAAACAGAATGATTCCAACATTCTTCACAAAGTTGTTAAGAGGTCTTTCACAGCAGGCTTTGTATATGTACTCAACACTAACAAGGCTGCAAGGTATCAAAAGACTTATTATAGGAAATTTCTAATCTGCAACCATCAAAAGAAATAATTCATAACTATTCTAGCATTATTATTATTGTTCCCTTTACTTGTGGTATCCACGAATACCATGTTAAATGTTAAGCATGCTTCAATTTAAGATGGCCCACATATTTTGAACAACGTTGTAATAGTACTAATGAATTATTCAACTGTATTGTTTGTCTAGGTTTGTATAAAAATAGTTTGCAAACTACTATGAAATACATTCTAAACAATACATTTTAGGCTACCTATAGGACAAACATGCTTAAGCAAAACAGCCTAATGTATATAGAAGTGTTTTCAGTCTTTATGCACTATAATCCAGCCCAATGTTTAGGATAAAGCATGGAGTATTGTTTCATATATAGGAAGTCCTTGACTTACAATCATAATGAACCCGAATCTTTGTTATATGTCATGATGGTTGTAAGTTGAGGTATCCACATGATATTTTTTTGCAGCAGTTGTTAAATGAACATTGTGATCATTAAGCAAATGTGGCTGTTGCTAAACTAGCCATTGGCCACAGTATTTTTTGCCAAAAACCAGAAAAGAAAACACTGGTTTCTGGCAAAAAAAATAATAAAACATGGTCATATGACTATGGGATGCTACAAATGGCCATAAATGTGGGTCGGTTGCCAAGTGCCCAAAACGCAATTAAATGGCTGTGCGTGGGGTGGGGGGGGAGGCAATGGCTGCCATTGGAACTTCAAATCTGGGTCTTAAGTATCTTTTTTTTGGGGGGGGGAATCCATCATAACTTCAAATGGTATTAACTGATTGGTCTAAATTGAAGATTACTCTGTATTTGATTTGGATGAAAGAATTCTATTGTTAGATATACTATTAGCCAGGAATACTTATTGGAAAGTCTTTTTTTTTTCCAACATAACTCAGCTAACTAGGAATTGAAAGGAATAAAAAAAAGCATCTCTTGGACATGGTTGTAAATTCTTTGTAGAATTTAAAGAGGAAAATGTATTATAGGATTAGCTCTAAAATCTGTGAGAAAATTCTCTCAATTCTCAGGGCAAGAGACAATACAGAAAAATAACAACATTACATAGATTAGACTTTTTTATTTTCCTGTGAATCGGCTCCTTTGGATTTTTTTGTACATAAGTGCTTTTCACACTTATTGTTCTACAAAGCCCCATAACAAGTTATATCAGAAACAAGAAAAAAGCCTCTCCAGTTTTGAAGAAATTATTCCTTGATAAATGCAACACTCTGTCTTCATTCATGAAGTGCTACACTGCATGTACAATAGGAATTTAAACTTATCAACCTTTTAATTGCCAATTATTCGCCAAGAATTACAAGCTTCTTTCTTTCGCTCTCTCAGTATGTCTGTGTATGTATGCACTTTTAAATGTATCTAAAACATTCATAAACATGCACAGATTCATGCCCTCATGCACATACCCCTCTAAATTGGCTTCTGGTTACAAAACATTTCTGGCTCTTTTCTTATTTAATCAATTTAACAGAATTTTAATGTAAACTGTATACACAAATTCTACTGTAAATAAATAACTCACAGTCCACATTCCATTTGATGCTCCTTGGAGGAAGCTTAAGGGTTTCATTGATCTTTTCAAGGACTGTCTGTAGCTTCTGTTTCTGAGCTATTTCAGACTGTGTGACTTCAGCCACATTGAGTTTCTCACTCTCAAGCTTCTCTGAAGTGATAATGGAAGAAAAAAACAAGTCTTTGCCTCAACTCCATGTACCAAGTTCAACGTGAAGACATTCTGTTCCACCTATTCCAAAATGGATTTTCTATAGAAAAACCTAATTTAAAATTTCAAAAGTAACCACTGACAATTCACCAAGCAGATCTAAGTAGAGTAAGGAAAATCTTTCCTTCTATTACAATAGAAGCACAGTGATTTCAATACATTTTACATTTATTTTTTCTAAATATTATATCTGACATTATTGACTAATGAGGGTCCTGTGTAAAACAATCTATTTTTTTAATGTTAATTATAGTAAACTTTCAAAACTTTATGGTATAGTTTTTTTTTCAAAAATGGCTTTTAAATCTGGATCTTATCATTAAATATGGTAGCACTACAGAAAGACAAATTTCAGAATATAATTGAAGCTTTGAAACATCAAAGAGATGTCTAATTTAAAATGCTGAGTAAAAATAATCAAAAATATAATACAAACATAAAGGAAATGGTTATTTGCTGTTTAGACATGATCATTCAATGGCTCAAATCTGTGAAAAGTAGGAATAAACTAAAAGTAGGAATAAACTATTCTTAGGAAACAGAAGGAGCATATCTTCTCTTATTTCTTGGGTTTTTAAAAAGCCATTCTATATAAAGGCAAAATATCATCACACTCTGCATAAAAATAAAATTACTTCTTACCAAAGAGTTTTTGCAGTACTTGTCCATCATACATGTCTTCAGCCAGATCTTTTACAATTATTCTTTCTCCTACTAACACATCGTTAATCCAGTCTATTAACACCTTTATTAAGAGACCAAGATTTATCAATATTACCCAAGGCATCATCACAAATGTATGTTATATTAGACACAGTATGATGTTCGAAACAATGCATTGCATTCAAAGATGCATTTATCAAGAGTTAATAACAAGAATTAAAATCTTGATATCGAAATATTAATATTTATGATATTTATGGCGTATGTTATATTGTATCAAATGTGTTAAGCTACACTATTGTTTCAAAAAAAGCTACTCATTTTTCAGCTTCACAAATATAGAAGTTATTCTATAGAATCATTTTTCTAATCAATTATCAGTAGACATTACAGTTACTTAACGATAATTGCTGGATGCGAAGTTACAGGATAAGACTTAAAATATAAATTACTGCAATTCAATAGAGAAATTAAATGGAAGTTAAAATATAATTACTGCAATCCAGTAGTTAAATTCAACGCTATTTAAGCATGAGGTAAAAGGTAAAGACATCCTCGAGTCACATTCAACTCCTAGTAACCACATGAACACAATTATGAAGGTTTTTTGGGCAATGATTCAGAAGGGACAAACAATATCGATTTTTTTTCAGTTCTCCAATCAGTGCTAAAGATTAATATACTTAATATACATGAACAATGAAAATTTAAAGAATGTTCTTCACATTCTAATATTTGCTCTCAGCAAATAAATCACTTACAGTAAATTCTATTTTTAGCCTTTTTTTGTTCATAGAAGAAAACGCTGGACTCAAACTCTAAATTTTCAAGGAGATATACTTTTCACTATTAAAAATCTATATGTACGTTTTGAATAGCAGAAAGAACTCTCTTCCACTTAATGCAAAGTGTCTTCGAAATTATCTCAATCTCAGTAATGAGAACTTTTGGAATTGTTTGACTTCGTTCTTAAGCATATTGTTAGAAAAATATTAATTGCATAGAATTATTATGAGATGGTGTAGGTTCTCCTGTTTAAGCGGGGAGGCTGGACTAGAAGACCTCCAAGATCCCTTCTATTCTATTCTATTCTATTCTATTCTATTCTATTCTATTCTATTCTATTCTATTCTATTCGAACTATCATCTCTAATTTCAGCAGCACTGGAAGTTTAGCTGATCTTTCTGTTTTTAATCTTCAAAAGTCACTAATATTGAATTCAGATGAAATGTGTGTGGTCCACTGATTTTATTAAATCCCTATCAGGCTTTCAACTCACCAAGAAAAATCTAATACTCATCACATGAATTAAGAGTTTAGAAATAATAGTGAAAACGCTCTTTGGTCAACTAAATTAACTAAATCTCATTTCAGCTCACAAAATGGGCATTCCATTCCGGATAATTGGAGGGAAAAATAATTCACGGGGATTCCAGCTATCTTTTGTAATCCTCCAAAAATCTGTTCTAGAAACTTGAGGGTTCCCAGGAACATATGGAAAGGGGTTCATAGAGTAGGAGAAATTGGTGAAAATTGTTTCTCCACCTTCTTTTAGTGAATTAAAATGAAATGATCTTCCATTGATGGAATATTACTTTCAACTTCAGTTTACACTGTGGCATTCCCATAAAATTTAAAAATTACCCACTGCTTATCTTAAAAACTTCAAATATGCCTGGTTTTAAATAAGTTGACATTCAAACCTGGGGGAAAATCCTTATCTCTGAGGAAATGGAACTCCAATATGCTCTTTTCTTCCCACATGCTAAAGAATATTAATTTCACAAGTCTTTGGTGCCTATGATTAAGATTTAAAAATGCAGATTGTTGATTTTCAGTCACTGGATATATTTTTAGTTCTGCTGTAAATATGAATTATTCCATTTTTGTTTGGCTATTATCTGTTGTTGTATTTCAAATAATTTCTTTGTTAATATCTTGGAAAATCTAACAGAATTAAACAGCAAGATTTTAAAAAATTTAAATAAATACCTAACCTATTTAGAAAAAAAAATTGGGGGGGCAATCAGTATCAAAGCTATAATCCGCAAACTATTTTCTGCTAAAGAACCCAGTGATTCACAATCCATTTGTCGTAAACACAGGAAATATGTTTTACAATGAGTAAAATCTTGAGTAAATGGTGGTAGGAGAAGGCTGGATGTAATCCAGTGACCTTATGCACACACAAAAAATAACATTCAAAAAACACAGCTTACTTTATTTTGCCTGAATTTTATAGATTACTCGAGAATCCAAGTAAAATTCCAGGTTCATTTTGTTTCCAAAAACTACTTTCAAAGTATTACCTTCATTAGCTCCTGTAGTTTTGGGTCACTTCTTGAATTGGGATCAATCATTGTTCGGACTTCATTTTCCTCTTTGAAAAAAAATGGAGAGAAATAAAGAAGGAAGATTCTTCATTATAAAAAAGGCATACTTATGACCAGTTTAAAGAAAAAAAAAGTATTTCAAATTACCTAACATAGTATCTTCCGGATCTAATTCAAAAGAAATTGGACTGAGTGGTAAATTTATGGCATTTATTCCTTCTTCCTGTAGTTCAGACACTGAAAGGAAAGAAAAAAAAGTTTAGTGAAATTTAATTTTTTTTGTTACAATGCCTTTTGGTAGCAATGAGGAATGCACCTTATGTTCTTATGCAATGTTGAGAGATAATTGTAAAGTGATGTGAGCAGGAAACAAAATACAAAAACTGAGAAATAACAGTAACAAGAAAAAATCAAGACTCATTGAGGACCTGACATGACTGCAACTTTCTGCTGGCTTCCAACAAGCAATGTCTGTGGGGCTGGAAGTTGTAGATCCTGAGCAACTTGCAAGCAGGCCAGAGGACTTGTAGGTAATGGTCACTCACAAAAAACAGTTCTATTGCAATAATCATGTAAAAACTGCATGCACCCATTAAATCATTCAAAACAATTTCTATATGAGTGTTTTAAAAACTGAAACTGCGCCACAACACTCCCTCCTCAACCCACACCCACTCATGTGGCACTGCAGCAACATCTCCCTAGCCCAGTGATGGCGAACCTATGGCACGCGTGCCAGAGGCGGCACTAGGAGCCCTCTCTGTGAGCACACGCGCCGTTGCCCCAGCCCCGCCTCCCCGTGTCCCCCTCACCAGCAGCCCCCTGGAGGAGAGTCGCCCCCAGGCATGGCCCACACAGAGCAGCACAGCCAAGGACATAGCTGGGCAGCAGGGACAAGACTCCACCCTTGCGCCCCATAGCGTGCAGTTGATGCTGCAGGGTGTGGGTGTAGGGTGTGGCTGCCATGGCGCTGCAAGGCTACCTGTGAGGGGGCAGAGCATGGGGTGGGCAGGGGCGGAGCAGGCAGGGCAGGAGGCAGAGCGGGGCGGGGGGCGGGTTTGGGGCACTCGGTCTCTAAAAGGTTCACTATCACTGCCCTAGCCCAAACCCACTCCCCACAGCACCCCTCTGTCTCACTCTGTAGTACCCTAAGTCCTCTGGCTTGCTTGCAAGTTGTCCAGGACTTACAACTTCCAGCCCCACTGTCATTGCTTGTGAGAAGCCAGCAGAAAGTTGCAGTCATGTCAGGTCCTCAATGACCCATGATTTTTGCTTAACAACGGCAACAGGGAGTGTGGGATTGCAAGCAGGCCAGAGCTGTTAAGCAATGTGTTCACATGATATCTCATTTTATCATCATTTAGCTGCATCACTTAGCAATGGCAATTCGGGTCCCAGTTACCCTTGTTAAGTGAGGACTTCCTTAAATGTTGCACACCTAAGATGCCAGTTCTGATTTACTGCAGAATTGCTGCAGAAAGAGTGTCAACTCTTATGTATGTGTAGATTTACGCTATGTAGATATTGGGAGATGAGCGCCAACTCTTATGTATGTGTAGATTTCTGCTATGTAGACATTGGGGGATAGGGCCCAGGGAAGATATGCAACATTTTGGAGAAGGACCAGTTCTCTTGCCCCTGTGGAACTCTTCATATTTATGGAATGTAATCTATGCATTAGTGAAAGGATAGCCTAATAATATTCAGCAGTAAAACTATCCCCAGTTTGAAGAACCTGACGCAAAAATAAACAATGAACAATAAACATTCTTGTCCATCGCTAATCTAGAAGCAGCTTTCTTTCCCCAAATAAAAGTATATAAATAAATTCTACTCTTTAAAGTCCCTAGAGTCTATCGGAAGGCATAAATAGCAGTGTCTGCAAGGTTTAAATTAGCTTAATTTCTTTAGTACATGCAGACATCTCCTCCATGCTGTGCTTTATTAGACTTTTTCATGTCTTTTGATACCTATTTATATTTCCTTCCATTAGTGATTTCAAACATTCCATCTTGAAGGCTTCCTACTAGTTTATTTCAGATTATAGGGAAGAAAAAAAAGGAGAAGCTGTCGCTAATGGTTAACAACATACTGTGCTGCTCAACAGTTACAGTTATTGTTTTTAAAGGCTGGGAAAGTGAAAAAAAAGTCTTTGTTTGTTTTGGCAAGCAATTACTGATCTTCCCTAACTAGCAAAAAGAGATGAAAGAAGAAGCCACATCTATTTTCTTAATTCTGTAAACATAATCTTTATTGTTTAGGCATTGGGTAAAAGGGGCTCGCTATTTGTTTAGCACAATTCTGTACTAATGTATAGTTTTGGTTTCCAGGTGCTCCAAAGAGAAGTTAATGTTCTCTAACTGTTATATAAGATGGAATTTGCCAAAAGCACACCTGACCACCTACAATCGTGGTGGCGAACCTATGGCACGGGTGCCAGAGGCGGCACTCAGAGCCCTCTCTGTGGGCACGTGCGCCGTCGCCCCAGTCCTAGGCCTTCAGCTGGGTTTTATAAAACCTTTTCGTTTTAGGGCTCCGCTGCCGTGTGCAAAAAAAAAAAAAAAGGTTCAATCAGTCAATTTCAACTTCTCGCGGGAAAAAAAAAGATCTTGCAAAGTTGGAATTGATTGAACTTTTTACTCCCACCCAGTCTGTCATTACCACTGCAGCCACGCCCACCCAATGGGCCACATCCAGCCAATGGGCCACACCCACCCGGCACTCAACGATGCATAAGTGGGTTTTGGGTTGCAGTTTGGGCACTTAGTCTCTAAAAGATTCGCCATCACTGACCTACAACCTACAAAAGAACACTGAATCCAGAAGCATCCCAAAGATACACATTGTGCTTTTAGGAACTGTGTAACTCCATTCAACATCAATGGCATTTCATTACTCAAATAATATTATTTCCAATCCAAAGAATCATCGATTTCCCAGCATTAAGTTTGCTCTCCCTCATCCAAGAACTGAATATATGTGTCAATTTACTAGTTCCATAGCTTCCAAAGCTAAGAATTAGTGGGAAATAAAGGTAGTGTTGTCTGTAATTTGCAAACTGTTGATAATGAAATTAATTACACAAATGGTTTATTTCAGTGGTTTGCATTGCTCCATGTCTGCCCATAAACACGTCCTCTGAGGATTATCAGTCTGTGGAGTGGAAGAGAATCACCCCATATTGCTTAGAAAGACCAGACTCGTAATGTGCCTGATATACCCAAGACAGAAAGCTGTGATAAGGAACATCATGATCATACAATCAAACACCACTGGAAAAAATATATATGATTATTTTAGCCACATTTATTGATCAAGACGTACAAATCTACTTTCATCTCCAAAGCAGGACATACAGTAATCTAAACTGGAGAGATCTAGGTAAAATGCTTTGCTCCAAAATTGCAAAGAGTTGACATTTCCCTTTTCTAGCTCATAAATATAGTTATGAATAAATGATAGGCATTTCTAAAGATGACTGTTAGTAAGTATTGGGCATTGGTATTTTATGCACATTACAATTCTTTACTGATCTGGATGCATTTACCTGCCATGGTTCAAAGCATCTATAGAAAACAATATACTAGTTGCTTTAATATTGACCTATATTGGCCAGGATATCTGAACATGAATATGAGTAATACTGTCTAAAAGTGGCATTGCAGATTCGTTACAATCAGACTAAATGGATAAAGCCACTGAGTTCACAGACTAACTCTGTGAACATTGAACAGAGGTGACTTTGGGAGAGAAATGGCATCATCACTCCTTAGTTACAGAGGAAGCCAGATGTTTATACGCCTCCAGTCCTTCTCTCTCTCTCTCTCTCTCTCCCTGTGTAGCATACTATCTATTTTCCTACCCAGTTTTTCAGAAATAATTATCTATTCAAAGACACTATTTTATTTCATATAGGTAGAACTCTGTGCAGTTTTGTTTTTTAATCAAGCTTTACAATTATTGTTTATTAATACATATTTAAAAATTAAAATAGGATGAATAAATGTTGATATTTATTAAAATCATTGTACCTTTCTAGTTTCAAAACTAAATACATAATGAACATTTTATATAGTGATTTTATTATTATTATAAACCTATAAAGGAAAATTCATTTAGACCAGCCCCCAAATTATGGTCACTGTAAAATATAGGATTAGTAGTCCAACACACCTGAAAAATATTAAAATTGGCAAAGTTAATATATAGCACACCTTTCATTTTTATTGATTCTATTACTTTTTCAAAAAATGAAAGCACTTCGATATTCAAATTTGAAAAATGCCATGATCCACATCAAAAGAAAGCGGCAATGAAGATAAGCAGAAAAATACTAAGAAAATGCTACCTATTTAGTTTGCATGAATACTTGTATGCACACATTAGATTTCATTTAGTCTGTTATACATAATGTGTAATTTTAAAAATATAAAATACTGTCATATGCATGCAATATAAAAACTATTTTGAGCTTAGCAACAAAATGATAACAACTGATAATTAAATGTGTAACTGTATTATTGGGAACAAAATATTTGTTTCACAACCCCCATAAAAATATATTTGCAATTAAACAGATGGCTGTTTATGAGGTTCATTCAAAACAGTCTTCAGAATGTAAACCATACATTGTTAAGCAAAAAATGTCCATTCATTCTCAAAAGACTTGATAAAGGAAGAGATATGTTTACAACTGAAAATATTTTTCAGAAAACCATCTGTAGCAGAGCTGAGTCCCACATCCATTAATTGCTGACTCCAAGCCAATCACTTCTAAAAGTGAATACAGTATGCAAACAACATGCATCAATCTGATGATGATGCATTAGGACTTATTCTCCAAATGCCCATTTTCCATGGTTGCATAATTTCTCTTTTAAATAAAACATAACTAATAAGAAGTCAGAAAAACAACAGCACAGAATTGTTTGGAATATAATGAAATTAAGGCCTAGCACCTTGAATTTTTCTCAACTGCTCACTATTTTATTTCATCCTTGTTTTGTTCTACTTTTGACTAAATGGAGCCAATCAATGTTACAAAGATATTGATTAAAGGAAAGAGTAACAACTATATCTGCCCACTATATAATTATTCTTCTGACAAAATATCCTAGACAATTAGTTTTGTTCTCATTACAATTTCGATACTAGTTTTATATTTTATTTATATTTTCACCTGAAAAAACAAAAAATAAAATATGACTTGTGTACAGCAACCTTCCTTCTTTCCCAAG